AGGAGAGGATTACTATGGATTTTATCACCAAATTACCTAAGTCTCCGAGGGCACGACGCCATCTGGGTAATTGTCGACCGACTGACTAAATCCGCCCACTTCCTGCCGATCAAGGAAAATTTCAAAATGGAGAGACTCACGAGAATCTACATCCGAGAGATAGTTCGAGTGCATGGTGTGCCTGTGTCCATTATCTCCGATCGAGATAGCAGGTTCACTTCGAGGTTCTGGCAGTCACTACATAAGGCTCTTGGAACTAAGCTGGATATGCGCACAACTTACCATCCTCAGACAGATGGGCAGAGTGAGAGAACCATCCAAACCTTGGAAGACATGTTGAGAGCATGTGTTATTGACTTCGGTGAGTCATGGGACACCCATTTTCCCTTGGTCGAGTTTTCCTACAACAACAGTTACCACACCAACATCAAGGTTTCGAAGCCCTATATGGCCGCAAGTGCAGATCCCCTCTGTGCTGGGCTGAGGTGGGCGACACACAGCTAGCCAAGGGGCAAGTCCCTGACAACACTCTTACTGGCCCAGAGATCATCCGTGAAACCACCGAAAAGATCGTACAAATCCGAGAACGACTTAAGGCCTCACGAGATAGACAAAAGAGCTACGCCGATAAACGACGAAAACCCTTGGAGTTCCAGGTTGGAGACCGTGTTCTGTTGAAGGTCTCGCCCTGGAAAGGCATGATACGCTTCGGAAAGCGTGGAAAGCTAAATCCAAGATACATAGGACCCTTCGAGATCCTCACTAGGATCGGTCCCGTAGCCTACAAACTTCGTTTACCGCAAGAACTTAGCAACATTCATCCTGTATTCCACGTTTCAAATCTTAAGAAATGCGTATCCGACGAAACCCTTACGATTCCTCTCGACGAGATTGAAATCAACGAGAACCTGAACTTCGTGGAAGAACCAGTAGAAATCATGGATAGAGAGATCAAACGAACGAAACAAAGTCGCATCCCGATAGTGAAGGTTCGCTGGAATGCCAAGCGGGGACCTGAATTCACTTGGGAGCGCGAAGATCAGATGAAACAGAAGTATCCGCATCTCTTTTCTAATCCATGATTTGTATTCTAAGTTCGAATTTCGGGACGAAATTCCCTCTAACGGGGGGATGATGTGACAACCCGAAACTTTTTTCGTTATCCTTACCCAGTTTCCGTTAATAAAATTGGGATTTTTATTTATTTTCCGTTCACGTTAGTATTAATTTTCGGTCTAACGTAATATTCTAAACTCAGTTCGATCGAGTTTCGTATTCGAAAACGAGGTTTTCTAAGTCAAAACATAGCTTTCGAGCCAAACAACCCTTCGATAGGAGTTTACGGCCGCAAACTCGGTTTACGACCGTAAACACTCTTCACGGCCGTAAACCCTCCACCCCACCCCTTGGCCGTAAACTCACCCCTATATAAGGGATGAGTGGCCTTCATTTCTCACTTTACACACTCCAGAGGCTTTCTCTCTCTACACACACACACACACACACTCTCTCTCTCTCTCTCTCTACAAACTTCGAATTTGCTCAAGGATCCTCAAGAATGTAAGTGATTCTTCACCTTGATTGTGTTTCTATCTCACTTCTAGTGGTAAATCCATGCTCCTATCTCATGAATCTCATATTTTTCTAGATTTTCTCTCTCACCAAGAACACCAAGAACACACACTAGTGTTTTTGGACTCTAACCACCCTTTCAAGCTTCCACTACGTAAGTACACTACCCTTAGCTTGTTGGATACAAGAATCACTTGTTAAACATCTAGAAATCGTGACCAGAAGGGTGTTTACGGTCAAGGCAATCTCCCTTGATCGTAAACTCTATTTAAGTGGTGCAAAGTTGCCACAACACCCTCCTAAGCCTAGAAACGAGGCTTAGAACACTTCCAGAAGGCTAGAAAGGACCTTGAAACACCAAAAATCGTACCTTTCGTCAAGTGTTTACGGCCGTAAACCCTTGGGCCGTAAACCCATGGACTGTAAACCCTTGGGCCGTAAACCCATGGACCGTAAACAATTGGGCCGTAAACTCATGGACCGTAAACTCCTTTTACGACCGCAAACTTCCCATTTTCAAATCACATGCGATTCTAACACTTAGTTTTAAGTGTTTCCTAGTCCCTAAGGTGGTTCTTTCCATAATAAATAGTGTTAAGCCCTCACCTAATGTATATATGTACTTTTACATGCTAAATAGGATCCGTTTGTGCCCGAGGTTTTATTTGACACTCAGCAATTCCTAGCAACTTACACTCGAATCCCACGTCAAACAGTGAGTTCATACCCCTACGCTTTTTCCGAGTTTTTCATGTTTTCAAGGGGGGAATACAAGCAAAAGTACAAGGAAACTTGTGCTCAAAGCATATTATTTTATGTTCAGAATGCTTTTAACACAGAAAACAGTTTTACCAAACGATTATGAAATGAACTCGTAGAAACAGTTTTCAAAACTAAAGCAAGGAACTTGTGAATCTTGTCATAGAATGTGATATTTTACAAAGGATTCATACAGAACATAAACAGGATTTTCTATATTATTACTTGTAAATTTGTTATTTTAAGTTGGAGACACGTCCTTGGTAACACTTCACCGAATTCGAGAGTGTAGGACTAACCCTTGTAACGAGAATCTCTTGTAGGGAGAGCGTGACTGCTGTGTATAGATCTATACGGGACTGACTATCCCGCACCTAAACTGCTAGCTACAGTTAGGCAGCCATGCCTGGGGTGACAAAGTCATAAAAGGATATTGGCCCCGTTACGTGCCATATCTAGTTTAATGTATGGTTATAAAACTCGCAACCTAGATAACAGAGATTTACTTTTGTAATAACGAATCAAGTGAACTAACCTCAAAGTAATAGCCGATTTGATTACTAGAGGGTATTGATAACACCCTTAGGATTTAGTTCACTACCTATTTATTAGTTTTATTTATGTAATAAGGCTAATACATCTCGTAGAGAACAAACAGGGTTTTTCAAGGAAACTACATTTAACGATACAAGTATGGTAGATACTTGTACACCTCAGACAAGAACAGATAACCAACTATCAACTTTTAAGGAAAATATAGGATTTTCCTGGGAGAACACAACCTTACATAAACGAACTGTTTAACATACAACTAATGGTTAATCATACATTTTTCATAAGAAAATACAGGATTTTCTTGGGAAACACTTTTCAAAGGCTCAAAGAAACATTTCTTTCACCAGAACTAAACGCTTATGAACTCACCAGCTTTATGCTGATATTTTAAAACTGCTTGTATTCTCAGGGCAACAATAGACAGGTACTCTTGCCAACTTTTGGAGAAGACGGAGCATTTTGGATTCACGTCTTTTACTTTTGTTATATACTGTTATGAACAAACTATGTTTTCAAACAATGTAGATATTCATATTATAATGTAATGGTTGTGTTTACTGTGATTACTATGATACGATTGTTGTGATACTACACATGACGTCACCCCGCCCCCGGACGTTTCCGTCGTCCGTTCCGACGGTTCGGGGGTGTGACATACGCCCCGTGTACGAGGCCAGAGTCAACTCGGTTGTGTTGACTTGTTGACTTTGACTTTGACCAAGTTTGACCAAGGGGTATTTTGGATGGTGTTTTAGAATTGGTCATTTGGATGGATAGGTGACAGTTAGAGCTGAGATTCGGGGTCGGGACCTCATCATATATTGTTCAGACTATGAGGTGAGTCTTCCTCATTGTACTTTCGGGTTGAAGACACCAAGGCCGACCCATTGGATTGATATCCTGGTTTACCATATGTTGTTATGTTGTAGTGACCCGTTAGATCTGTATCCTAGTTTATAGGATGTTGCTATGTGGTAGTGATCTGTAGATCTGTCTGTTTGACTGTTGATTGATTATATGTTTATCTGTTATGTATATGTCGACATATTGTGTTGGGTTGAGGTTTTACTGCTCTGTGTTGTATCCAATAAATCCGGGAGCATTCCAGATATGAGCTGAGGGCCGATTGGCATGCCAAACTCATACTGAGGGCTCGAGAGCATTCCAGATACGAGCTGAGGGCCGTTTGGTATGCTAGACTCGTACTGAGGCGCTGAGGGTATTCCAGTCCAATGACTGAGTAGACCCATTGTATATTGGCATTCCAGTTTGATGACTGATTTGGCCAGGGGTAATCTAGACTGATGGTTGTGGACCCTGGGGTATTCCAGCCCGATTGTTGATTGGACCCAGTATGCTTGTTCGTTTTTGGTTATGCATTTGTGTGGTGGTACTTTGGGGGAACTCGCTAAGCTTTGGCTTACGATTCTTAGTTATTGTTTCAGGTACTTCTGATGATCGCGGGAAGGCGAAGGCGTGACCGTACACATCCTCTATTTTATGGCTTTATGATTTTGGGATACCCTGATATTGATAAACAATATGGAAACAATGATTTTGTAAACATTTTATGACTATGTTTTTTTTTTTAAGTTTAAATTTGTTGTGATTTTTGGGATGTTACAAGTTGGTAACCAGTCGATTCCTACGTCGTGGCCACCATTGTCACGCCGTGGCAATGCCCAAACGAGATGGTCACGGAAACACCAGTCGCCATGTCATGGGCACTAGGTGCCAACAACTTAATGGATTAAGTTGTTATACTTAATCCCAACAGCTCTAATGCTCATATTTGGTTCCCCTCAAGGTCTTGATGGATAAACTTTCCAACTTTATCCATTAAGGCATCCTATTAAGACAAGATCTCAAATTCTAAGTCCTAAATGACAACACCAAGGCATATACTCACTCATTAAGCCATGCAAGCCAACTTTCCAACCAACCCCAAGGTCCAGAAGCTAACAAATGCACTCAAGGGTTCTGAAGTTCACTCAAACTCCAAGAACAAGAATATTTGGGACCAAAAGCTTATAAAATGACCTAAAACTAGATATAGAGAAATAATGAGGAAGGTAGAGACTTTATACCTCCAATGAGTAAAAAATGAGATGAAGATGATGGATCTAAGCTGTAACCATACCCATAAGCAACACCACGAGCTCCTTCTTCCTTTTGACCTTCACGAAAATGGAGTTCAAGTTCTCAAAACACAAATGAAGGCTAGGGTTTGGATGGAGGTTCATTTTCAGATGGTGGATGCTGTCAAATGAGGCAACCCTGGGAGTTAGTGTCATTAAACAGGATACCAACCTAGAGATTAGGATTTTAGGCCCAAAACCGTTTTCACGCGGTGGCCAATCGCGGATGCACGTTTTTCATTAATCGAGTGCCACACCATGGCACTCCAATGTCACGTCGTGGCCAGACTAACAAAAATAAATAATTAAAACTTGAAAATTAACATATGGAACAAGGATGTTACAAACAACTCCACTCTCACAGCCTTAAAATCGAAATAGTTCTGTTGTATAAATAGTGGTCATTTAAAAACGTCAAAAAAAAGCAAAAAAATTGACGTTTTTATATTTTCAATAATCATGTTGTTTATGTGATCAAAGAACTTTTAACAACAACAAACCTACCAATTTTAGATTAGTTCGGAATCGGAGGTCCAATTGTAAAATTTCATCGCGCTAACCAAAACGAGGCCTTTCGGCCTCACATTAACTGTTTAGTTGGGCCACAACTCTCTATTCGAAACATTTCGGGGTTATAAACTTATAATTATAAATCGGCCTAGGGTTTTAATATCATCTGCTGCCGTCTACCGAACATCGCCACTGCAAATGCAATAGGTAAAGAAGGTAGAGTCGCCGTCGCCGTACTTAGTACCGGAGTAATCCCGCAATCTCTACAGGTTTATTTTCCGTAAGTTTCTATCAGCTCCTCGTATATGTGATCATACATATTGTTTATGTATTATCAGCTCTTCGTATATGTGATGGCAACATTAACTGAAATTGTGCTTAACAGAAGCTAGAAGATGGCGTATGCAGCGATGAAACCAACAAAGCCAGGGCTAGAAGAGCCTCAAGAACAGATTCACAAGATTAGGATTACCCTTTCCTCCAAGAATGTTAAGAATCTTGAAAAAGGTCCGTGTTCTTTCAACCTCAGTTATTTCAGCAGATCCTTTAACTTATCTGTTCATTATTGTGTAAGTAGTTATGGTGTGTAGGGGAATTTGTGTTCTTCATTGGTTGTTACTAACAAAATGACTAAACTACCATGATCTAATAATCATCTGATGTCTATATTAGTGATTGTTCAGAAGAGTCTTGACTAACTTTTTTGAATTGGGGATTTGTGACAGTGTGTGCTGATTTGGTTCGTGGTGCAAAGGACAAGAAGTTGAGAGTTAAGGGACCAGTTAGAATGCCCACCAAGGTTCTTAATATCACAACCAGGAAATCTCCTTGTGGTGAAGGTAATTCGACTTTTCATTTTGCTTGTGTTTTACTACAAATTCATTTTTATTTCTAATGAAAGAACAACATTTAATTTTTGTATTTGATGTTTGTAATAATGTAGGAACAAACACATGGGACAGATTTGAGCTTCGTGTTCACAAGCGGGTGATTGATCTTTTCAGTTCACCAGATGTTGTGAAGCAAATCACCTCCATCACCATTGAACCTGGTGTTGAGGTTGAGGTCACCATTGCTGATTCTTAGATTTCCAACTGTTGTTTGCCCCCATACATTTACTATGTTCTATCTTGGGTAAGATTTCATATAGGTTAAATACATTTTGTATTTTTGCAAGTGTTTCAAGTGAAGAAATTGAGAGTCGTGTTTATTTTTAAACTATTGTATTATCATCAACTTAGTGCATTTCAAAGTTCATGCCTAGTTTAGTATTTTCGATCGGTGTGTAGTAACTTCATGTGAGATTTTAATTTCGATTCCTAAAACCATTTTGAATATGTAGAAGGAAAACACAAAATGGGTGATCTCATGTAACAAATTGATCACTTTTCTTGACATTTTAGCATAATTATAATTTCCCCTAACCACAATAACCTTGAAAAAAAAGATTCATACTTTGAAATTATATTGCGTAATTATTCATATGTTAACAAATTATGACTTGCAAAAATTAAAATGAGAATCACGCTTTAGTCTTTTTGTCACTTGTTGCTAAGTAATACTAATTTTGCAATTATTGAAATTTTGAATTAACCCACTACAAAGTAGGGATGAGGATTTGGATTGAATTGGAACGAATGTTAACATGCAATGTGGAGGCTGCAAGCCGACGAAACATTTGCTATCCAGTTGTTTATGAGTTATTTGAGTATTCACAAGTTTAGGTGAATTATTTGAGCTGTGTTAAATGTATTAAACGAGTTTATTATAAAGAAAACACAATTTACTTAAAATGAGATGATGGTACTCCGTCTTCAAGTAATTGTAGCTCAATTTCTCTGTCACCAAATAAGGTGAACTTATTTTCTAAAATGAAATATAAATAGTAAACATGTTTGGAAAAAATAATGACAGTTAAAAGAATTTTAAAGATTAACATTATGTAGAGAAGCTGAAAACATTTCAGCTTTATACCCGTTTTCGGGGGAGTATAACTCAATGAATATGTAACCAAATAATGTGAACTTCTAGCTAAAATGAAGTACAAACCATAAACTACATGTTGGAAAAATACCATGTCATTGGGACTTCAAACATATGGGTTATGATGGTTTAAAGAATTTTACAGATTTAATATTATGTAGAAAAGCTGAAAACATTTCAATTTTGATACTCCGTCTTCTAACTCAATGAATATCAAATAAGGTGAACTTATAGTCTAAAATGAAATATAAATAGTAAATTACATGTTAAAAAATTATCATGTCATTCCGACTTCAAACAAATAAGTAATGAAAAGTTAAGGAATTTCATAGAATTTATTGTCCAAAACTGGTTTGTATCCGAAGCCGGTGGAACCAAACCGGTAAAAAAAACATAACCAAAAGTATGGTTAACAAGAACTGATAACCAACCTGATGAATGCAAACCGGTAGATATGATCACCCCCTAAAACTAACTGGTCATTCTTGTTTAAAAAAATGTTAAAATGGTTAAATATAAATGTGGCTTCTGTGGTCGTTCTTGTGATTATCCTTTAGTTAATTTAACCATATTTTTATTCCATAATATTACAAACTTGGATATATTGATTCTTTAAAATTTGAAGTTCATTTTTTGTGTGTGTGTGTGTGTGTGTGTGTGAAATTGACTTATAGTTAGTATTTGATATATATTGCAATTTATACAAAACAAATTAGTTATTAAGGTAGAATCTCTCGATCCTAATCTAACTACACGATCACGATTTTACAGACTAAAAAAAATATCCCAAGTAAAATCTAGATCCTGAGAACCTTTTATTTCCAAAAAGACTTAAAGTCTAATCTTCCTAATTTATTGAAAAGATAGATTTATCTTTTTTATACCATTAAACTCAAACAAAAATACAAACATTACAAAATCTGAAATACAAAAGTTATAAATATTCATTTTCTGCAGAGAACATTCCAAAAAAAACAAGTTTCCAATCTTGATATGGATTTTATTCTTCAAAATTGAAATAATTGTCAAAACATAATGAGTACTTATTAAAAGTTATGACTTATTAAATAAATAAAACTAATAGACGAAAATTTTAGGTTTAGTGGACAAACGGTATATAGGAATGGTGCTCCTCAGATAGTTTAGAATTCTCGAAAAAGTCAAAAAATTGTAGATTGAAGTTATGATTTGGTCAATTATCCTCAACTCAATAAACTCCATAAATGTGTAAAATACTCAAAACTAACTTCAAAAGCAAACCTTATTTTCTACTAATACCACATAATTACGTAGAATCACAATATCTACCAAAAATCACAAACAAAAATTCCAAGATAATGTAAAAGTACCCTATAAACATAATATTCGTCAACAAAAAGATGAAACTTGGCTTCATAAACAACCTTACAACACCCATATAAGAAAGATCCCACACCAACAACCAAACACACAAACAAAAGAAGTTAAATTTTTTAGCCCTTTGTATGCTTAAAGTGTGGGAGATAGTCAACGTATTTACACCAAGAAATACCACCCCCCACACATTTCAAAGGACAAAGTTACTCAAATCCTCTTTTAAACTCCCAAAACCATTCATACTCATAGATACACACTTAACTCTATCAAACTATCCAAAAAAAAAAAAGTCAATAATCTCAACACGAATCCAAGATTTCAAGATCCACCACCCGCAAATTTCTGTGCACCCATGAGACTTTTAGTCAACCAAATCGCTGTTTCCCTTGAAGAAACCGTTTCTTCCCCGAACGGTTTCAAAACAGCAGCAAGCTCTTCAAGTTTCTCTTGTTTTAGCAACCTTGCACATAACTCCAGCAAAGACTCTAACGCATCAGCTCTTTGTTGAGTCGGGTTCAGCCATTCAGACGATGGTTCTGGTTCAGCCACGGGTGCACCCTTCTCAGCCTCCTGGTCCACAACCGGCTTAACCGGTTCAGACTCAACGGCTCTCGGTTGCGGTTGCGGTTGCAGTTGCTCCTCCGTATCCACTTCACAAATAATCACCCGATTCGATACATTCTCTTCATCACCCAATTCACCTGTGTTCGATGTAGTAGTCTCCTCCACAAGATTATCTTTTTTCTCATTTCCCAAATTACCCTCGTCATGTTTTTCGAGAATTTGAGGACTCGTTTCCTCTTGTTCTCCATTAGAAAGAAGATCCAAAGAACTCGATTTCATGCTAACTTTTTCCGGTCCATCCCCGTTGCAAACCGTTGTAGTCTCGCAACTCGTGTCCCCACTAAAATAACTCGTGGGGTCCACTCTTTTGGTCTCGAGATTTGTTTCTTCCATGAATATCGGGTTGTTATGTAAACTTCTAACCGGGATTTCAGCGTTTTCGTTTGTGACTTGTACTTTCTGCTTAAGGACTTGTACATCACGTTCCTTTTCTTTTGTGTCGTTTTGTTTCATGGGTGAATGTTTTTTTGGAGTTTTGTTGTCTTTTGGGCTATTTGGAGGCTTCACGGGTAGAAATACAGAAGACGGGTTGTGACACTTTAGGAGGTAATGTTGTAAGTGTGGGTGCCTTAGCAGTTCTGCCGCCTATTGTTTTTTGAGGAATACTATGATTAGATAAAATAATAATAAAAATATTTAATAAAAATATTTATCGACTTACTGTTGGTCTATGTTCCGGACTTTTCCTTAACATGGTTTTTATGATCTGTTTCCTGGAACATTAACAAAAAAAAATATCGTTTTTATATTTAACGATTAAGATAAATTATTAGAAATTCTTTTGGGCTTAAAAAATATACTTACAATGTTGAAGAATATACGATGGGGAGAGGAGAAATCGTGGATCTGTTTATCTTGTTGATAAGTCCCGACATATCCTGCAAGATTGTTCGACTTTGACCATTATTTTTTTGTAATATCATAGTGGGCAAATTGGTCATTTTACTTTGGAAACTTCCGATAAAAAAAATGTAGCAACTTCCATGGGACAGAATCCAGGAGTCGTTTTTAAATTTCTAGATCTTAAAACTACAATAACTAAAGTCGTAAAGAAAAAAGGGAAAACTAAATCTCAATAATGTAATAACATAAATAGCTTAAAATAGAACTTACGGGAGCTCGAAATGGTTGTTGATGTGCACAAATTTCAAACATGCAACAACCTAAGGATAAATAAGAATAAAAAACAATAAAGTATAATGCATAACAAAATGGGACCTTACAAAATTAAAATAACGTGACAAATGTGTTGTTACCAAGTGACCAAATATCAGATTTATAGCCATAAGGAATGTCTGCAAGGAGTTCTGGACACATGTAGTTGGGTGTGCCCACAACCTATACATTCAATAGCCATAAAAGAAATATTATAATTTAAAAAATAAAAGATTAATCTCCATTCATGAAAAGTATTAGTATATTATAATAAGTAGATTACCGATGAAGCAAGGTCTTCTAAATTGAGAAGTTTTGCAAGTCCAAAGTCACCTGTTCATGCCCAAAGTCATTAGAAATACCGAATAAAAAAAATTTGAATTTGAATTTAATTTTAAAATATAACTGATTTTTTACCAAGACGGATATCGTTCTCCTTTGTGAGGAATATGTTGGAACACTGAAATTAGACAAAAAAAAAAATTGTAAATTTTAGTTTTGTGTAGAGAAATAATGTTTAAAGGTATTTGAAGAAATGATAACACACTTGAGGAAATGGAAGGAAAAAATAAATGAGGGCAAACTTGTGAAAAGTTTGGAATTCATGGGTAAAGTAGAATATTAATTGAATAAAAAGAGGAGCTTACCTTCAAATCCCTATGAAGGACACGATTAGTATGCAAGTAATCCAATGCCAATAATAGTTGTGTTAGCCATTTGCAGAGTTTCTATGAACAAAAATAAAACAATATATAATCGAAGATTATAAATATTTTACAATGAAAGAAACAAGAAATGAAGTTAAAGTTTTATTTATTCACCTCCTCTGGGAAATATGCTCCTCTAGCCTTCCGTACAAGCTCGGCTCTAAAATCAACCAAAAAGTTAGTATCATTCAATTTCAACCAAAGGTGTAATGAAGTTACTTACATTACATGTTAAAATTACTTATGTTTCAATTATAATCATTAAAATTTTAAAATCCAATTATTCATACTGATTTGGGTTTAAAACTTTAAATGATTCCCTTTATTTGTTTTCAATTGCTTTAATTTCAACTAAAAGTCTAATGAAGTTACTTACATGTCTCCTCCTTCACAATAAGCAGTCACTATGCATATGCCCGCCTACAAAACAAAAGTAACATACATATTTATATTATTCATTTGAACAAATGACCAAAAAGAGAAAGAATATGTAAAAAAAAATCTAAAAGGGTAGGATAGTC